ATTGTCAATTTCTAGTGTATTTGAATTAATATTGTGTACATTTTGATTAGACAAATGTTCAAATTCAATACTTTCCAACTGTAATTCTTCTATTTCAGGAGTAACTGGATTTTTCTTTTGTTCTTTTTGCACTTTGATAGTTATTCCATCTTCTAATTCTATGTATTGTGGTTTCATTTCCATTTCCATAGCCAAGTCTTCAGTTTCTTCTTCAGAGGAATTTATGAGAATAACTGAGTCATTGTCAGACTTAGGTATATTTCCAGTCTCTTCATCAGATGAGTCTATAACCATTATGGAATCATTGTCAGACTCAATTGTGTTACTGGTCTCTTCTTCAGATGAGTCTATAACAATCATTGAATCATTATCAGGCTCAGTTATGTTATCAAGCTCTTCCTCAGATGAGTCTATAACAATCATTGAACCATGATCAGAATCAGTTGAATCACTAATTTCATCTTCAGATGAGCTTGTACCATTGATTATATCCAAATCTGAGTCTGGGCTGTGATCTGATTCAATACTTGTTTCTGTATCATAATTTTCAGAAGTACTGGAACTTTCATCGTGCCATAATTGCTATTTGAATCAAAACCATTGAATCCCTCATAAACTATGCTTGAACCATGAGTGTTGCTTGTATCATAGCCAGTATCTGGATCAGTAACTTCCATTTCTGAGTCCACACTATCTGAAACTTCAGATGGAGTATCAAAAACTTCAGATGGAGTGTCAGAATCTTCAAAATACTGTCCCATCATTCCAACAGTTACTTTTTTTACACTGCCTTGTTTTCCAAATTTTGTTTGGTGATTTTCGTTATATTGCAAAAACTTTCTAACTGGTTGTCCTTTTCTGATAAAGAATGGAAGAGAAACTTGTTTTGTTGCAAAATCAATAAGAGCTCCAGCATTTTCTAAGAAATCACAACCAAGTATTATAGCCATATCTAGTTTTTCCATAATAAAGAATTCTTGTTCCATAATTCTTCCATTAAATTGAATATTCAGTTTTGTTTTTCCTTTTGTCTTTAAAGCATTTCCCTCTGCTGAAGTGATGATTGGTAAGCCAGTAGTTTCTTTCTTGATGAATTTAGAATCCATTAACCTGATTTCTTTTTCTGTAATAAATGACAAAAGTGCTCCTGAATCACATAAAGCAATAACCTCTCTTCCATTATGATTTTTCATTCGAAATTGGAAATCTTTTCTGCCTTTTACCAAAGAAGTACACTTAAAATGTGCGATTTTCTCTTCTTTGAGATTAAATATTGCCATTCTTCCTTTAGAAATTTCAGTTTCATTAGGTTCATCAGTCCAACATGTATTAGTCTGTTAAAGCTGCCTTTTTCATTATTTCCTGCATTTCCATTTCTTTGTTGTTGAAATCTATTTTGAGAAAAAGGTTTAAATGTATGTTCATTTTGATTTGAGTTACTCTGATTGTTGTCAAATCTCCTTTTGTACTGTTTGAATTCATTTTCGCTTTCTTTTCTTGCATTATCAAAAAATATTTCTGCTCTTTTTGCCAATTTAATATACTGATTAACTGAGTTAATCTTTCCATCTTTTTCCACATGATTAACAATTTTTCCTTTAAGACCATTCCTGAATACAGTTAACAGTTGAAGTTCTCTAACTCTTTCAGTAACACAAGCCATTTCAGTAGTATTGAATGGTAGGAATTTTTCCACAAGTTCTTTACTTCTTCTAACAAAACTTTGGACAGTTTCATCATTGAACTGTCTCAATCTATCAATTTCTTTTTTGTAAGCCATAGGATCTGGATTAAATTCTTCATCCAATGCATCCCAAATTTCATTTTCATTTGCCATGGAGGGTAAACTTTCAATAACATCTCTGGCTCTTCCAGTAGTGATTTTCTCAGCATTCGAACTCTTTCTCTTCTGTATCCCAAAGGTTTAATTCACAAGCTGTTTGAAAGTTCCTCTTAAAGGCCCAAGTATCTTTGCTACCAAATAGGGTCTCAGCAAAGTAGTATTAGGTTTCTCATTAGCATCAATTAGAAGACTTGCAATTGTCTTTTCCAAAGCATTATCTTGAATGCCATCATAACTGAATTTTGGTTGAGTAGGATCAGGATTAAACCATACCTTCAGGAATTGTAGCTGCCCCAGTCATCAAATGGTACTTTAAAAAGCTATTACCATCAACTTTGGCTCCACTACTTTTAATTCTCAACATTAATTCATTAATTTTTGAAAGATACTCATCTACTTCCTTGCTCTGGCTTTGTCATCTTCATAAACCAAAATAACATTCATTGAAGTAGCATTGTGGGCTGTCGACTGCGCCATATTTGTACTTGTTGTATTGTAATGTAGGAATTTCTGGTTCGTCACAACAATGAATCGTCCTTTCCAATCATTTACAACTTGCCAAAGTACTGTCCAAATAGAACCTTTAAAGTTCGTCCCAAAATAGTCCTAACAAAGGCAAATTTCGGTAGAAATTGATTAACAAAAACACC